GAGCAGTCACCAGCCACATCGACCTGATCAGTGTTTGATTGTTGTGTCTTGTTGCTTTTCTTCTTTTGTCTCTCCTCTATCCACTCACCCCAACCGGTCGAGGCAGAAGGCCGCCCACCAAGAGCCGGGGTCTGTCGGAGGTTTCTTCCGTTAAAGGGAGTTTTTCCTCCCCACTGTCGCCAAGTGCTTGCTCAAGGGGGATTTGTTGGGTTTTCCCTGTGTAATAACATTGATAACAGTAAGGTCTAGACCTTACTTTGTAAAGTGTCCTGAGATGACCTTTGTTGTGATTTGGCGCTATACAAATAAAATTTGATTGATTGATTGATTGATTGAAGCTGTGATGTAGTATCATACCAGTCCGATAAACTGCAGTGTCCCATAAAGGGGTGTTAAAAGATTCCTTTGAAGGATGGTCTCATGGCTCGTCTGGGCTCCTCAAAGCAGAAATAATCATTTTGGGATGGCCTTCAAATCAGAGCATCAGAACAACTTCTGGGTCAAGGGAGTCGTGATAAATGATCAAATGAGGGAACCGGGATGTGCACAGAGACGGTGTCTTCCACTCTGCAGGGGCAGAGAGGCACATAAATCTTTTTGTCTCAACCTGTTCCCCTGGTATTTTCATGCAGCAGTAATGGATCACAGAGGCTGATTGTTGTCACTTGGCATGAAGACACATCTATATATTGTTTTCCTGCAGTGAGTGTGTGCTGGTACCATAAAAGCCTCGGCAGGAATGACTATGATTTCATGCATCTATGCGCTAAAGACATTAGCATCCATTAGTGTTGCATTCTCAGCAGACCTGTGTGGGCAGCCTCCAACTTCCATCTCCTGTTACTCATTCTGATTGCTGCGGTTAGATTCGCATTTGTTTTTTAAATCAGCGTGCCCCACAACAGTCCCACTTGCTGCCACCACCAATCCTGTTTGTCTGCAGTTTTACCCCGGCTACCTGAACAAACCTCTGTTTTGTTCACTGGGATATGGGTAGCTACACTAAGTGGCCTGTTTTTTTTTGTTTGTTTGTTTTGTTTTGTTTTGTTTTTTCAGGTGCTTTGTGTTTACATAAACAGCTCACTCCTCCAGACAGTGAGTCACATCTACTGTACAGCAAAGGTCTGAAGTACACATAAAGAGCTGAAGGGTTCAGCTACTGTCTGACTAAAGGTTGCATGGGACAAAATACACCTATTATATTATATAGGTAGATGTGCAGTTTTAAAGCCATGAGATTTGTGGCAACCTGCAAGCAAATAATGACACAGAACAAGGTGTGTGTGTGTGTGTGTGTGTGTGTGTAAGGGCAAACGAAAAGCAGCATAGAACCTACATCCAGCATTGCTACGGTAAGAGCAGGTAAAGAAACTAAAGAGAAAACTTGATCATCAAAAACAAAATTTAAGCATCTTATGCCTGGCTTGACAATGCCTGGCTTTCATGACATGTTGAGAGGCTGGTGTAAACCACATGACTGTACAGATCCATCTTGCACAGTCTCAGCAGGCTGCTGATTGAACTGCAACAAACATCACAAACTGTGACTATGTACATTTTGAAAGAAGAACAGATATAAAAGAAGTGAGCAGTAAAACATAGTCTGCTCTGGTACGACTAGTATGATGAGGTGGTTAATGTTGCTGTGTAACTGACATTACTGAGCCAATCTTGATTATGTTTTAGCATTTGCCATTATCCTGTAGTTGTTACTTGTAGTTGCAATGTAATCTGACTATAAAGCAATAGTTGTGGGAAATCAAGAAAAAGAGCAGGCCTGGCTCACCAACACGTTATCTCAAGTTTAATATACAGTATGCACATACAAAAATAACAAATGGCAAATTGGGGTTTTTTTTGTCTGCCATGCACTTCTGTGCTGTGTCTCCAGCTGTAGCGCAGGTTGCCATATGTGTTGCCATATGCTGGTCTCTGTGGTCTTACAGTCACTCCACCCAGCTGTTGTTTGCTAAGAATTACTTCTAGCATATAATTCACCATAAAGCAGGTCTGTGTACTGATAAAACAAATGGGATACAACATGATTATTAGTGTGCTTTAAAGGTGTTGTTAAGTGTATATGTGAACCGAACAGAGCTGGACTAGCTGTTTTTCCCTGCTACAGTAAGATAGACCAAACACATCCTGACATAAACTCCATACTTCACAGCTGTAACCAATATTTTCATGCTAGCAATCATTCAAAAAACTACATCATGTGAAGGGTATTGTTTATAGTGACAGCACCTTTAATACCACTTTATCGTCTTTGAGCTCATTCAGCCCAAAACTTGACTGTTTGGTTTGTTTCACTGCTCTCATGAGTGCTGATTTTAGTGGAAAAAGCTCTGATACACCTACTGTATGCTACATGTCCAGTGCAAGAATGTTAACAGACATAGTGACCAGTAGATGAACAAGAGTTGATGTCGAGTATAAATTTATTTCATGGCCAGAAATATGACAGGTCACCATGGTAATTTTGTCCTTGGAGCTTGTTGCAGCCAAAAAAGTCAGTTATCACCATTTTTGATATACGGATGATGACTGATGTTGATCTTTTCATTTCTCAAAATGTTGAACTACTCCTTACAGTAAATAGACTGATTAGCTTTGATTTTATAAATGGTACAGGAGTTAAATGCAGCTGCTGTATCAAGTAAAGATGAAATGAGATCCCTCAAGAGTTTTGGCAGCCTCATCAATAGCATCAATAGCTTGACAACAAACGTCTCTCATGTGGTTCTTCTTTTCCTCCTAGGATGAACAAGGCCCCTACAGTGGGCTATGAGGATGATGTGGGCAACCACACCACACACCACTTCATGTATCCCGAGAGCGCCCAGAACCTGGCGGTCAATGTCAGCTTTGTCCTGGTTCCCTTCAAAACACTGGATCTCGTCTGGATCACTAGTGCTCTGTCCACCGGCCAGATTCGGTTGTAAGAAGGCACACATACACACACATACATGCTTCTGCACAGGAATTGATTAAAACGTGTGGATGTGCATGCATGTGCACAGAAACAGACTATAAATTCTGGGTAAATTCTGCAGTGCGTAGAGATGTCAATGTCAGTGATTTGACTTCACGGCACACAAGCACACATAAGTTTAGTTTGAGGGCATGAATACCTCAGTGGCTTTGTACATACCCTCGTGTGCACGAGGACACGGATAAGGTGTGCACAAACATTCCTATTCATACTTCAAATTAAGGGTCTGCCTTCTGCCTGCGTACGCCGATGGTCTTCAAGCATTGTGGCGCATGCGCAGTCTGGGCTTTTGTTGTGCGGACTGACTGCGCGGACGCAGACTTTTGGCCTGCATGCGGACATCCACAAAGTGTCTGTGTGGACCCTCACGGACCTGGGAAGGTTAGCAGACATGTGGATGTGCAAAGCATGAATTGGTTATTACCCTAATCTTAACCAGAGCTGACATTTGCTCTAACCTTACACATCATCGTTTTTGTAAAATTCGATAAAACTACATTGTGGAGACCAGCGTCCAGTCCCCATGAAAATAAAAACTCACGGATTTTGGGCCACACAAGAATAGAAAAACAAGTCTACACACACACACACACATACGCATACTTCTTGCATTCCCTAGCCCCCCATCCTCACCTTAACCATCAGAACTAAATGCCTAACCAAAACCTAAACCTCATTCTAACCTGAACCCTAAAATCAAGTCTTACCCTCTAAAAGGTGCTTCAGAAAGTCATGAGTGGCCAAAATGTCCTCACTCTGTAGCAAAAAATAGTTTTTTTTTTTAGTCTTCACTATGTAGCAAGTATAAGAACACACACACACACAAAGTCGCTGGCTTGGAACAATCTGCTGTCAGTCATCCAGATTTCATAGCTGCAGGAGCCACAGAAAGTGCTGATTGAATGTGTTTAATCACTTTCTCTCTCTCTCAGTACATATGCTCCAGTGAAACAGTTTCTCCGTGTTGATAGAGACAAGGTGAGTATTTTCCACATTCACTGCAATAAATTTTGGCCAAGCACATTGCATTTACAGTAATTTGCCAATACACATATATATTTATCCCCCCAACACACACACACACACACACACACAATGACCCTGCTTTGCTGCTGTAATATCCCTCCCCACTCTTGATGAAGGATTACAGTTAGATTATAAACCTTTCTTTCTTAAATAATCTTCTGCTTGCTAGGATAAAATTGTAATTACTGTTCAGTTGGTTAACAGTGCTTTTAATATTTCACCACATTCAGAACTTTAGGAAGTACCAACATTTTACTTGGTAAAATCTTTTCGTGTTCAGTTGGACCATTTGATTTGTATGCTGTTTGCCATCTGTATGGACAAGATTTAAATCTGAATTCAGAGGAACTTGAATTTAACTTTTTATTGACCAGGAACACTTAGAAAAGCAAATCTGGATTTTGTGGCTATGACCAATGGAGCTTCCTGAATATGAGACTGTGGCAGATGCATATAAAATTACAATTAGTATTTGAGTTTGGGTTTGAGTCTCAGATTTGCAGCAAGGAGACTTTTTCCTCTTTTTTAACAATATTTTCCTTTCTTTGCATCTATGTCCAACACCCAGGTGCAGATCTTTAACCCAGTATTTTTTAAATACATCCACGAGCATTGGCTAAAACATAATGGCCGCTACCCTTCCACTGGCATGGTAGTGCTGTTCTTTGCTCTTCATGTCTGTGATGAGGTCAGTGTGTTTCTTTATCCCTCTGCTTTCTCCCAGCCACCTATTGTAAATCCTTGCATCATGCCAAAACTGCACTTACAAAAGATTCATCCTGGACATATGCACATTTGGAATCACACACATCCTTTCGCTTACTCAGTCTCTGATTCTCCTCTAGGTAAATGTGTTTGGGTTCGGGGCAGATGACCAGGGTGGCTGGCATCACTACTGGGAGAACAACAACTTCCCCGGAGAGTTCAAGAAGACAGGTGTCCACAACGGGGACTATGAAGCCCAGATCATCCGGCTGTTGGCAAAGGCTGGCAAAATCACTGTATTCCCTGGGAAATAACAAGCCAATCAGCTATCTTAGATGTCATTGTTAGCTGGTTCAGACATAATAGAGGCTACTTCGAATGTGTTCTCACTTTCACTTAACTGCACCAGTTTAGGAAGTAAACCAAATCTGAAGGTAAAATGAGTCATCGCACAAAGTGAACTGGTACCAAAAGATGTTATTACTTTCACATTCCCTCATATTTGAGAAGTAGCCCACCAGTCTTGTTCAGTTCTAGTTGGAGAACATGGTTTAGATTCATAGCACCCAGGAAAAGGGATCCAAATGTAGTTCTGTTCACTGAGGTCTGAGGTAAAAGTGACAGTTGGGCCTTAAATTTGACAGTAAAGTAACTGGTTTCATCCCTAATGGCCAGTGCAAGGATTGAAAGACAAGACCACTGATCTTGTTCCAAGGCAGCTTCAACTCAGGAGCGAACAACATGCAATGACTGGACAGTGTGGACTCGCCTGATCGCCACAACTGTGTAAAAATTGCACATTTAAATACCCCATAACTGGATGCAATCTACTGGAAATGTTCACCATGGATGATTACCTAATCCTCATACAGTGTGCGTAATATGGAAATTGCAGCAGGAGCGGTGACATCTAGAGGACTGTTGTTCTACAGCAACAAGGTGTCAAACAAACAAACGTTGTTCTTCTTCACTTCCAGAGCTGTGGATGTTGGCAAACACTTGTAACTGCAGGTTTGAGACTACAGACACAAACCGTGGGGCTACCAGGAGGACGACTCTTTCAGCTCTTACAGAAACTTGCACCGTGACTTGTTTTGCCTTTGCTTAAGAAGTTGTTCTTCTCAAATCTTACATAAGATTAAACCTCACTTGCCACTTTTCAGTGTCAGAACTCTGTTTATGTGAGGTCTGCCTCACAAGACACTTTTGCAAAGGCTTTGTCTGACTGTCATGGGTTATAAAACGTAGTTATGCTGTGAGCTAATGTCATATTATTGTCCTCTAAACCCCCCATGGTCCATACGTGGCTAAGCAAGGTGTTCCGGCTTTCCAACTGACCCACAGACACATGATCAATGCCTTTCAGCCATTCCGACTCAGAAGGATCACTGCAGTACCAACATGAGCTTCAGCTTCTTTATCCTGGTTTTAAACAACCGAGCAATTAGACACAAAGAGAAATGTTCTGGGAGAGAATTGGTTCAACTTTGTGAGACTCTAATGGGGCCAAAAGTCCATGTCTTGGTATTTCAGGTTTGGATAGGGTCACACTGGTTTCTGGACCGGAGCTGGATCCCCATGTGGTCTGTTAGGGTCTATTTTGGAAGAAGAAGAGTAAAGACGGAGAGCTGGAACATGACAAAGCAGTTGGACACAGTCGGCATCAGAAACATTTCATTTGCTCCTGTGTGTTTAAAGATGACAGAGGAAAATAAGTTGTGTTCACTGTTTATGTGTAGCAAACTCTGGCTTCTACACAAACAGTATTGGACTCATCTCTTTGGACCCACAAGGACTGAGATAGTGACTTCTTTTCCCTTTCATAGACATAAAACTCCAGTCTTCTGTGTACCAGCAAAGTTAGAAACTCACAGTTTTGCCCCAGTTTAAGGCCCATGTGACGGATCTGGGATTTCTTTAACCTGTCAGCAGCTTGAGTTCATTAACCACTAGCTCTGGTCCCTGCTCAGCCAATTAAAACTTCAGTTATGTCTAGAGGGGGTAGATCCACCAGACGCCTTAGATCTCACCACGTTACTGCACAAAATGCTCTTTGTGTTCCGATTTCCATGATGATGGTATACCCCCCAGTAGGCTGCAGATTTAATTTGTTAGTTATATATATACTGTTTAGGTTTGAGTTTACACTTTGCCTGGATTCACACTGTTGGCTCAGGTTTCTTTTCTACCCAGGTGGCACATTATTGGTTTTTATCATGGTTAGGTATCATAAAATGATACACCTTTACCCGTTGGTAGTCACCTCTTTATTGATGAGACAAATATGAGTCATGGAAATGTCTAGACAGGAAATCAAAATGTGTGCCATACAGAGGTAGGAAAATGAAAGTATTTGTTTTGAGCTAAGGTTGAAAATCCATCCATAGATGGCATGATGGAGATGTTTATCAAGACATGGCTGGTGTCTAAAAAGGAAGAGTCCTCATGGTTCCTTTGCAGGTCAGGAAAAGGTAGAGAAGTAACTGAATAAGTCTGAAGGCATGATCAGTAATATTCTTACTACCCCTTTACACAAAACTAATATATGTACTATATGGGTTTAAATGATTGTTGATCAGTATTACTGACTCATTTCAGAGCAAACCAGTATTTATGGCAGATTTAGGTTACTGTAAATGATAGAATTCAAAATACAAGTCATAGACTAATTAAAATCCTTGAAAATTTGGTTTCAGATTTTGAATATTACATCAGTAATATTGAACATTCATGAATAAATTGGCAGTATTCAAAATTAAAGATACCTTGTGGAGTTTTTCTCTATATAGCAGTGTTTTTACATGTGGTTCATAGTTTGTTTGATAAACCTATTTCAGACCAGGTTCCTTACCCAGGAATTTGCCAGTTATTTCACCTCTAGGCATCTTCTCCAAACAAAGCCCAGAGTTGCGTAACCGGCAAAGTGTTACTGGCAATTGTACCTGGTCACACCTAGTCAAACAACCTGCTACGTGCTAACCAGCTCCATGTCTGAATTGAAGTGGTCAAATTGCCGAGAAGGACATGGTCAAGATGATGACTACTATGCCTGAAAGGGGCTTTAGTGTACACTGGGACAAGGACTCATACTCGCAATCACATGCTACAAAATGCAGCAGTGTGTCAACAAAAGCAGAGAAGAAGAAGACTGCTAGCAAGTAAACATTGGATGCAAACAATGCAGGATTTAAGACATTCAATAGTCAACTTTGCATATGTTTTATTAAGGAAAGAAATGCATTCAGCACATTTAGAGCTCAAGAATACACAGTGTGTTTCAGTGAGTAACGCTGAATGTAAACAAACTCCACAGGGCACCTTTAAATGTGGAAAGAAAAGAACATTCAGAACATTACAGCTAAGATGTTTGTTTTTTCTCAGAGGCAAATTAGTGTATTGTTTTAGTGACTATTAATGTGTTACATACTGAACTACAATACAAAGAAATCTGCCACTGTGTTACATACTGAACTACAATACAAAAAAATCTGCCACTTTCAAAACAGTCAGAAATATAGCAAAGTGTGTAAATAGAAGCTGTATAGGAACCATGAGAGCCGGCTGCTGCAGCAGATGGTACGTTCACGTGGAACAGCACCTGTACAGTATGAGACCAGAGCATGTTGTTCAATGTTAAGGGATTTAATCATGTGACATTAAAAGACTTATCGTTCTATGAAGTGTTTTAAGGTTTACATGTAGTTTACATAACTTTTACAGAGGTAGGACTGAGGTAGACTCAACACACTCCAATGTGAGGGTCGGGGTGCCATCAGGTGATTAGAAGAACTGTGCCTCCTGTGCTTATGTCATTTCTGTTGGTGGTTATTGTATTATCTCTGGTTGATATGGTGTAGCCACATGTGACTCTCATGTATTACCACTGTACTTTATCTACTTTCAGTGTTTACTTTGCACAGACCAGATTTTATAGGATGTTTTAATGTTGAGCTGGGCTCATTGTAGGAGTCAATGTAGAAGAATCTCGACATGCTCTCTGTCTCTCTTACACACACATGCTTTTGTGCCTTGTCATGCTGCTTGGACATCTCTTGCTAACAGCTGCTCCAATGGCAACCCTCACTTACTACCATTGCATTTTTGTGGTCTCTTACACACACTCACATGTGGTTTCTGGCTGAAAGCTGTGCCTTCTGAGCTGTATACATACACACACACACACACTCACTCTGCCTTCTGCTTGGTGTTTGGACACCTCCGCTCTTCACTTCTCACTGCTCTGTACCCTGACATTGTTTTCCAGGAGGCTAAAGAAGAGGATGTAAACCTGAGATGCAGTGCGACTTACTGTAGATGCTCCTGCCAGCTTCAAAAA